CCCGCCTTCGGCGACTGCGTCAACCTAGATCTCACCCGCGCGATCTGCTGCTGGAGGGCGACCAAAAACGCCTCTTCCTGCGTCGACGCCGAAGCCAGGCCGGCCAGGCTCGCCTCGCTGCCGCCGCGCGCGACGCTCAGCGACGCGCTGGTCGGCCAGTGCTCCATGTGTGCGCCGCCGCCGTCCAGGCTGGCGCCCACCTGAGGCGGCGCGCGGCGGGCGGTGCGCGGCGTGTGCGGGAGCGGGGCTCTGCGGGCCTGCAGGCTGGCAGGATGCTTGCAGTCTGGGCGCGAGCTTGGGATCACGAGAAAATGCGGTCGGGCGGCGCGGCCTCGTGCCCCGTCCGCAAGACCTGCCGTGCTGCCACTGCCTTTTAACCCCTTGCCCTTGCGGGCGTTTCCGTCCGGCCCACCCACCGCCTTCAGCCGCTTTTTCAGCAGCCGGTAGTCAACATAGTGCTCCGCCCATTCCGCCCGCCTGTTCTCCTCCAGGAAATGGGCGAACTTCATCGCTGCAGCGCCGCGGGACCGCCGGCCTTTCTGGGTCGCTCAGCCGGGCGGGCTCACCAGCGTCGGCCGGCCCCGCATCACGCGCGCCGTGAGCACATATGGTGCCGCTGCCGACGCGGCTCTGGTGGACCGCTGGCGTGGTGCGAAGTGGACCTGCCGGCTGTGTGGACGCTAAAGATACCCTGTGGGACACTCTACAAGTGTCAATCCCCAGAAAAGCGACGTCCGTGGGGGTGACTCCGTGTCCCACAATGGGTCACCCAATTACCCAAGGCAGACAGGAAAGCAGCAGCGACAATTCAATCGAGAGAATTACCAGTGCAAGGCATCCCAAGCACGAAAGCAGATCACGCGTATAATGTATCTATGTGATCGCAAAGGGCAGCCGCACTGGGATCTGTTGAAATCAATGACAAGCGAGTCAGCTCACAATTGCTCTGCAGTCTGCTGTCAAGCAACGGCGGGAGGAACAGCCCCTGATGCTGCTGGTCACCCAGGCCCAAGATCCCCTCCTGTCGTTGCCCACTGCGCATGGCGAAAAAGAGTTCACGGTTGTCGCTTGGCCGCATGCCATTGCTCAGCTGCTGGTAATGAGGTAAGTACAGCCGAATGTTTTGCTGTCGCTAACCCGGTTCTGAAGCCATGGGCATCTCCGCCAGTCAACCGCACAAGTTGACCACAGCCCACCCGCAACCCCATTTTCTGGATGGATGTGTAAGTGCCCCAAATTCCACGCAGCACAAGCGCCGCTTAGGACAGACATGTGTAGCACTGCGAAGCTGAGGAACTCACACATCAAGTAACCCACTGTCTATTCTCTTCATGGCTTGCAGACGGTGATAGAATTTACACGAGATGTGAGCCAAAGAAAACAGCTTGTCATGACTCGTGCAGTTTGAACATGAAACCAGGCCCCCATCCAGGTGCAGCAACCATACAGTTGGACGAGTCCACCCACACACCAACAACGGACCGCCCCAGCAATCAGGCGGGCGCGGGCGCCGCCGGCGCGGCGGGCACGGG